AGAGAGAGAGAGAGAGAGAGAGAGAGAGAGAGAGAGAGAGAGAGAGAGAGCATGTGCTCATGTACATGTGTGGTGGAATAGCTCCAGAGTGAGATTTAATAATAATGGATAAAGCTGCGTGTCTGTCACGGAAGTCACAGATTCTGTGACTTTCCATGACCTCAATGACTTCTGCAGTAACTAGTGCTGGCTCAGGGGCTGCCCAAGCCAGGGAGTTCCTGGGCCATCAGCAGCAGTTTGGGTGTGTCGGAGGGGCCTCAGGACTGGAGCAGGAGATTGGGGTGTGGGGCGGCACTTAACTGGGGGGGAGGGACTCCCCGGCTCCCAATGGCATGTTCCAGCAGCTCCTAGGTGGAGGGGTCGGGGGCTCCACACGCTGCCCGTGCCCGCAGGCACTGCCCCAGCAGCTCCCATTGGCTGCGGTTCCTGGTCAATGGGAGCTGCAGAGCCAGCGCTTGTGGCGGGAGCAGTGTGCGGCACCCCCCTGGCTGCCCCTCCCCCTAGGACCTGCAGGGACATGCCTGTCGGAGCCGGGTAGGGAGCCTGACAGCCCAGCCCCCCACACACACACTCCCCGCAGCACCAGCAGGGGTCCCAGGCCGTGCACTGCCACCCGCTCCTCCCCCCCCCAGCACCAGTGGGGTTCCCGGGTCATGCACCACTGCTGCCCACCGCCCCCCCGCAGCATGGGTCCTAGGCCGCATGCTGTTGCCTGCCTCCCCACCAGCACCAGCGGAGGTCCTGGGCCACTCCCCAGCACCCACAGCACCCCGGCCTGCCCCTCAGAGTACCCGTGACCCCCTGGCCCAAGTTATAGTTAGGGGTATATAGTAAAAGTCATGGACAGGTCACAGGCTGGTGAATTTTTGTTTTGTTTTGTTTACTGCCTGCTAAAACATAGCCTTAATGATGGATAATAGTAAATTTGTGTTGATGGACTAACAGTTCAGTGAGACACTGTTTCTACTCCCTAAATGTATTGTACACACCTGACACAGAATCTCTGTCTGAATAGCAGTGATTAATATTAACAAAGTAATTAAAAAAATCAGTAAAGAAAATGGTCAATAATTGATTAACATAATACATTGTATTCCAATGCTTAGATATAAAAGCACTGAAAGCAATTATCAGTCTCTGTTCTAGTGCTGAAGAACACTGCAGTAAGACTACTAAACTGTACCATATACAATAGGTAGCATAACTGTAGCACAGAAGACCATGGGTAGCTCGTTAGAATGTTACTTTTTCAATAAAGATTTGAAAAAGATATTACCTCACCCAGCTTTCTTCAGAGGGGTCATTTTAAGTGACTGCCCATTTGTTGAGCAAGAAAAAAAGATTATATATAATCTAATGGACCCGGGAATTTCACTCATGGGGTCATTTCAATCAGTCAGTATTTCTCTATTTCCTAGATTTAGTTGAAACAATTGCTAGTATCCAGGTCCTTAGTAACACCTGACACAGTCCAGAGACTAAAAAAAAAGATCAGATGACAGTCCCCAGATTGCAAACTGTTTCTAAACCTGCTGACATTCTACGGCCTGGGTAAAATTAATTTAGTAAATATTCGGGCATTTAGCATGGTCAGTGTACAAAGACTTCCTAGATGTTGTCAGTACAACAGCATCCACCTCTGAGCTAGATGAAGCAAAAATTCTCAACACATTAGATAGATTCTTGACCCAATTTACTTTGCCTATTAATGTCTGTTGCATTTATTATACTAGAACAGACGCAGATATGTCTGAATAGTAGCTTCCTTCCATACACCACACAATTACTGCTTCTTGAACCCTGAAGTACAATGGTTGCCATTAAAAGTAAACAATTACCCACAATCATCACACAAGATTTACTTAGCCCTGGTCTACACTACGAGCTTAGATAGAATTTAGCAGCGTTAGATTGATTTAACCCTGCACACATCCACACGACAAAGCCATTTTTGTCGACTTAAAGGGCTCTTAAAATCGATTTCTGTACTCCTCCCCGACGAGGGGATTAGCGCTGAAATCGACCCTGCTGGGTCGAATTTGGGGTAGCGTGGACGCAATTTGATGGTATTGGCCTCCGGGAGCTATCCCAGAGTACTCCATTGTGACCGCTCTGGACAGCACTCTCAACTCAGATGCATTGGCCAGGTAGACAGGAAAAGCCCCACGAACTTTTTGTGTCTGTCAGGGGAGGGCCAGATTTACACCTTAATGGCTTACATATTCTGTACTATGTGCAACAAATATAGCACAGTATGACAATTAAAATATATTGTGTTGAATGTACGAGAAAAAGAAACTGATTTTCCTTTCAGAAAACACTGTCATATTAGACAACTTAGTGAACATATCTATGAAAGACAAAAATGACAGAGCAAATAGGAATGCATTTGTAGTCCTACCTAGGCTCTGGCGAACAAATGAACAATATTTACATTTTAGCTAGCTAAATTATTTTCGTGCACATCTGTAAATCTTGCAGGGTCAGAATGTTGGGTTTACTAAACATTGCAATGATATGTTAAATGGCACCGTATTGAAATAGACTATTGTTAATGATGTGTGAAAACATTCTCACATTTGCAAAATATTGACAAAAATCAACTCTCTTATTAAGCTTTTTCAAGCTTGAAAGCTGAATAGCTCAATCTGTGTATTATTGTGCATGCACAGCATGAGAAAAACAAGGAAAAAATCCATGCTTTTTATGCAAAATAAGATGTAACAGCCATATAATTTCCTTAATGTTGTGAATGTTATGGGCTACTTGACATTTCTTTAAAATGAGCCTAATGCATACTTGTAATAATTTGTGCTATGTACATTAGTGGAATGTAATTAATTATCAAACTGAATACAAATGATCTTGGGTATTTAACGCAGGTTCAAGCTCATCTTTCTCTATAAACAATACATGTCACAATAAAGAATTCAAGGCAGCAAAAGAGAGTGAAATATGCCATTGGTCTACAACGCTTAGCTCAATTAAGAAATTTAAAGGATCTGAACAAGGTTTTTTTTACACACACACACACACACACACACACACACACACACACACACACACACACACACACACACACACACTACTTA